TTACTTTTACTCGGGTTCCACCACCTTAGTGCAAAATTCAGGTGCAAACAAGCAGAACTTGGGGCAAACCTTTAAACATGGTGTCCTGATGGTACAACAGGAGGGGTAAGCCTTTTATGCCCTCTGGCTTTTTGCTGGTTCTCACTTAATTCCAGTGAAAGAACCACTGTCATGCAGTGGAGAAGCTTGAGATCACATAACAGGAGACATTTTTCGGTGGTGAAACCCACTATTAGCTGATGGTATGGGAAGCACATAAAAGACCCTCCTGCCCAAGATGGGAGGGTCCCCATCACAGACGTAGCTTTCCTATCCAACTATATTGCTATGAACATAAGATTTATTGAGAACACAAAGGTAGCACAGGTATTTTTCAAGCGTAAATTTAATTTGTAAATATCCTTGGCGTTATTTTGTTCATCTGCATGATTGTCACTTATTGAGACTAGCTTAGTCAGAGCAAAATGTAGTGGCACAGCCCATGGTTTGCACACGTGGATTGTTATGGGTAGCTAGGGATAGTTCTCTATTGTGGGAGAAACTGATTTTGCATTCAATTCTTTATTGAATGGTCTGTAGGACAAGCGTGAACTTGCAGGCTCACTGAGCCTTCTTTTGCATTGTAAAGAACGTGGTCTAAGATCACGTTATTGGGTGACTTAAAAGCCCATTAATGATACAACTTCTCAGTACTTCTTTAAAATTTATTCATGGGATGTGGGCATTGCTAGCTAGATAGCATTTATTGCCCATCCCTAATTGCCCAGAGAGCAGTTAGGAGTCAACCACATTGCTGTGGGTCTGGAGTCACATGTAGGCCAGACCAGGTAAGGGTGGCAGATTTCCTTCCCTAAAGGGCATTAGTGAACCAGATGGGTTTTTCCTGATAATCCGCAATGGTTTCATGGTCATCATTAGACTCTTAATTCCAAATTCTTATTGACTTCAACTTCCACTATCTGCTGTGGCTGGATTTGAACCCAGGTCCCCAAAACATTACCTGAGTGTCTAGATTAATAATCTAGCAATAATACCGCTAGGCCATCACCTACCCTTGATGCTCTTGCAATGAATCCACATGTAGACAATACTGACACTGCACTTGTCCTTCAACGTGGTAGGGATCACAGGTTTAGAAGAGCTTTTGTGTTTTAACTAATAGTTAAACTATCAGTTTACTGTAACAATCGGATGTTTTATTGTGAGTTCTTAAGGAACTGTATATCCTTCATACAGCACAGATTTAATTCCTCCCAATTCAGCTGCAGGAGTCTGTATTTAAACGTGATCTTTAGTTGGAGTTCACTTACCTGTTCTAAAAACCTGTACTCCTACAATTTTTTTCTTAAAAAATAGAATCCAAAAGTCAACTGGTTACTGGAGCTAAAATTTGTCACCTTTGTTTGATTAGACTGTTCATAATACTCTGTTCACCAGTTCCAAATAGAAAAATCACAGTACTGAAAGAGGCCATTGAACTCATTGGCATTACACCATGACTAACTCCAAAATGGGAGCTATCTAATCTAATCGCATTTTCTTGCCTTTCCTTTGCATCTTTTTGTATTCATTTCAAGCTCCCTTTTAAAGCTATAATTTTTGCTTCAACAGTCATTTGTTTAAAAAGTGCAAATTCCAGTTTTGAAGTACAGAAAATTGGCAAACTACATTGAAACATAGTCTATAGATTATAAAATAGCAAGTGCCTGCAATATTTTCAATACAATTCCTTTGGAACAACTGGAATCTACAGCACAAATGCAGGCTATTTGGCCCAACTGATCTGTGCCTGTATTCATGCTGTACATTAGTTTTCCCCTTATTCAGCTCAACATCTCCATGTGCTACCAAGTTCCCCAGCCTTGCCACTCTGATTAAAGGTGTTTCAACTGAATTCCCTATTAGATGTATTGGTGAATATTTTAGATTTCTGACCTTGATTTTGGTCTCCCCCTCAATAGAAAACATTTCTCGATAGCTAGCAAACACCTACATAATTTTAAAGATCTCTTTTTCACCTCGACTCCACCCTCTCATTTCTAGGAAAAAAGACTACACCCGTTTAATCTTGTATCCTTTCAGTTCTAGTATCATCGAGCTAAACCTTTTTTGGTCTTTGAACAATAATATAATAATGTTTTACACTCAGACTTGCTGAAACTTGCATTAAAATATCTTTTTGTAATATTGAACCTAAAACTGCATTGTATTCCAAATGTGGCCCAACCAATGTGTTTTTGTGGTATTATTAAGGTCTATCAGTAATTTTGATGATCTGCTCATTGTACCCCCAAGGTCTCTTTGATTCCTTACTCTATCTGCATTTCTTTGAAGCTGTTTGCCTCCTATTCTTCTTGTCCAAATGTTACAGTTCATACTTTATACTGAACTTCATTTTCCAATTATATGCATATTCTGCAAGTTTGTTAATGATGATATAATTCACTGGAGATATTCCTGATGAAACCTACACATAATGTGTGTTCGTATCGCAATAATTCAATATCAGCATTTTGCATGTTGATTTTACCAGCTGAATTGTAAGTAACAATGTTGGCCCCATGTTGTCACACTGTTCACCTCTCAAGGATGTTTAGCACTTTTCAATCATGATTTATTGAAAATCTAACCTCAGACTTCCTAGAGTTCTGCCCTCCCTCAGTATGAGAGGTGAACTTGACAAAGGAATTAAAGTTGAAGCCACGATCCTATTGAATAGACTACTTGTGCTTCTACTACTTATGTTCTTATATTTAATGGAGCATATCTCAAGGATGTTGTTTTCTAAAGTTACTTAGTTCAGGCAATTAACTTATAAATACCTTTAAGAAGCATAAGAAATAGGAGTAGTATTAGGCCATTCAACCTTTCAAGCTTACTCAGACACTCAACTATATCATAATCTATCTCAACAGTACTTGCACACAATTTCTTTAATCTCTAGAAATCTACCTATCTCTATCTTGAATATATATTGCAGTTGGATGTCCACAGCCCTCTGAAGTGGAGCATTCCAAAGAGTCATCCTGACTGAAGAAAGTCCTCCTCATCTCGGTCCAAGTGAGCAACTTCTACTCCTGAGAGTTTGCCCCTGGTTCTACTCCCACATCTGGGCCAGGGGAGATTGCCTGTCATTTTTCTGAACTCTAGTGAGTATAGGCCCATTCTCATCAATCCCCCCAAGGATAGGACAAAACAACCATCCCAGGGACCACTCTGCTGAACCTTCGTTCCATTCCTTCTATGGCAAATATATCCTTCCTTTGTTTCCACACTGTAGGGATTCTATGAAAAAAAAATAAAGAAGCCAAAATGTGCCAAGCCGTTATACGGCTGCAGCAATGAATGTATACGCCTGCATTCACATTTTCTTGAAATAAAGGCCAACACACCATTTGCTTTCCTAGTTGCTTGGTGCACTTCCATGGGACTTTTAGTACCTCATGGACTCAGATATCCAGGTCCCTTTGGACTTCAGCAATTACTAATGTCTCCCCATTCAAGGCATTTTCAAGAAATTCTGTCTCTCTTACCAAAGTGGATAACTCCCCATTTTCTTCTTCCATTTTATTGCTCACTTACTTAGCCTGTCTAAATTCCCTTGAGTTCTCACCATCTCCTCACAATTAATATTCCCACCTTGTTTTGTATCATCGACAAAACTGGAGACATTACATTTGGTCCCTGATTCTCAGGACTGTTTAATTCACTCAGGGTGGAATTTTCCCACTTTCAGACCAAATCTGAAAGCAAAGAATTTTGTGGAGAAAATCCTGTGGCCCACTTGTTCAATGAATCTAGTGGATCAAATGTCAACCAAGCAGCCTTTTGGTCTTGGGTGAGATTTCTAATGAATTATGAAGCTGGAGCAGGATATCCAGCCCACTTAGTGCTTCTGGCCAACAATGAACTGGCATCTCCAGGACTCGGCAGCATTATGCAGCATATATAGCTGCTGCCAGAACAACACTCTCTGGAACCCTAGCTGGAAGATTAAAGGGAAAAATAGCAGGTGTTGTTTGGTTCCTGACTTTGGGGGTCGCAGGATGAGGGAGCAGGGGGTGGGACTCAGGACACACCTCTGCCCCAGGTCAAGTTCTTCGGTCTTGTACAACTGAGTGTAGATCAAGGAGACCCCCATGACCAAACTGACGGTCTGCACAGAATGCTTTTACTAATCAGAAAAGCGAGCTCTTTCTCTTCCTGCATGGAGCTGGACTATCTGCAACCGGGTAGAATGAGACCATTGTTAATTAATCACTTGACACCATTAATTGGCAGTCGGATGGGAAGGTTGACCATCAGGTTCACCAATCAGAATTTAATTTCTGAGCGGGCAGTAAAGAAGTGGGTAGCTCTCCCCATCCTACCTTATTATCTTGCCTATCCCTGCCACCTTCACTGCTGCTCTCTTAGAAAATCCACCCTGTTTTATGAAATGCAAATTAGAAATTATTCACACAAATTCAACATTAGGAAATAAAACAAATATTGTGCTACTTTGTCAACTAAGAAAAGTTACTTTTACTCTTTAACCAAGTTAGCATTTGATAGATTTTGAAGCTACTGTTAAACATTTACACTTTCTCATAAGTGGATAGATTGCTTGGTCAATGAAATCAAATATGCTGTCTTCAAATAAACTAATGCTACTATAAGTCACTTCATTGACCTTGCTCATACAAAATAGAGTTTACTATAATAACAGTTTTGAACCTGTGAAATAAACGCATTGTAACATTATAACAGTTTATATCTATTCCGATTGTGCTCGTCATACTCTGCAATGCTTACACATGTATTAGTTTAATTGTGTTGCTTAAAGTACTTTAATTGCTCATACTTTAAATATCTGATTTTAATATTATGTATATTATAGTTGTCCTTTTGCATGCATTGATTTTGAGATCTGCTTAGGTGTAATTTATGTCCTTCACAGTTTTAATGCACTGTTACTTTTCAGTTGACAAACGCTGAAACTTATTCTATTTTGTTTCCAGATCTTAAATGTGAGTGCCATTGTCCTTGCTAATCTCTGTGTTTCCTACATTATGACCAGTCAAAATGAAGAGGTGAGTAAAAGACACCCATTTACTGATGACCTGAATAAAAAAACTTTTTTTTTTATTTTTGCGTTAACTACATTTGTTTGACTGTATCTGCCTTAGCTTCAGACATGTTGTGTTCAAATATGACTTCTGATCAGCACCCAGCAACCCCCCATCTTAAGCCGTAGGGCAGCACAGCAGTACTTGAAGGAGTTTAAAAGGATTGGAGGGATAGAATCTGATTGAAACTTACTGAATACTGAGAGGTCTAGATAGAGTGGATGCGGAAAAGATGTTTCCAATAGAAGGAGAGACTCGGACCCAAGGGCATCGCCTCGGAGTGAAGGGATGACCCTTTAAAACTGAGCTGAAGAGGAATTTCTTCAGCCAGAGGGTGATGAATCTGTGGAACTCATTGCCACAGAATGCTGTGGAGATAAAGTCATTGAGTGTATTTAAGACAGAGAGAGAGAAAGAGATGTTTTTGATTAGTAAGGGGGTTGAGGGTTACAGGCAGAAGGCAAGAGAGTGGGGTTGAGAAGCATATCATCTGTGATCGAATGGCAGAGCAGAGTTGATGGGCTGAATGGCCTAATTCTGCTCCTATATCTTATGACTGCTTACTGACGCTCCGTTTTGATTCCACAAGAGCCACTGGTCTAAACATGGACAAAAGAGCTGAACTCCAGAGATGAAGTGGGAATGTCAGCATTTAGTAAGATTGCTTTGTGTAACCTTGAGGCCATAAATATTTTGAATGATATCCTGTGTTTTGTCTTAAACGCATTAATGTGTAGAAAAAGGGAAAGCCTAATAATAAACTACAAAGTAGATAATGTGAGTAATCTAGATTGTTATGGTTGAGCAGTTTGTGTTGTCTAGTCTGCAATATACGGAGTTGTGAGCTGTCCTTAGTGGGTCCGTTTTCATAGATTCTGCAACTTACGACTCGTTGGCTTAGTACCATTGAGCTAACATGCAAGTTGGGGAAACTTCAACACAAAAGAAAGAGGGAACAATGTCAGAACAGTTTTCTCAAGACAGTTACACCTAAGAGAGAGGTACAGATTCAGGACATGATTGGTGTGACTGATAATGTGCTGAACTAAGGGGAACTCAGGTGAGAGAGAGAGAGTGAAGATCTACAGAGTCTGATCTAATCCCTGAGCTACTTCCAAATTGGTGCTGATTAGGAAAGAGAACAGAAAATGCTGGAGAAACTCATGTCTCACAACATTTGTGGAGAGAGAAACGAAGTTGACATTTCAAGTTCAGTAAATCTGACTTTCAGTGACTTTGGAACCTGGAATGAAATGCTATCTCTGTTTCTCTCCTCATAAATGCTACCAGATCCACTGTTTCTGCAGTGTTTTCTAATTCTCATTTCCAGCATCTGCAATATTTTGCTCTTATAGGACTGAGAACATGTGTGACTGAAGGAATGGTCGAGAGAAAGAGGATTTTCATTTCATGGGACACCGCAAGATGCTGTACCATTTGGATGGGCTTCCCTTGAACTGACCTGAAGGCAGAATCCAAGCAGAAAGGATCAGCTATGATCCTATTGAATGGTGGAGCAGTCTTGAGGAGCTGAATGGCCCACTCCTGTTCCTATCTCTTATGGTCTGATATGTTATCTTTAAACTGGTAAATGAGGAGTGTGGGGAAAATTTCAGGTGGAAAAGGTGATGGGAATAATAGGTCAGAACAAAAAAAGCAACAAATTAAGTAACAGTCAGAAATTTTGCTTTAGGCATTACAGGTACAGAGAAAACTAACAGATATAACATAATTAAAATTGGGGAAAGAACTAAGAAATTCGAGAGCATAACAGGGCAAAAGGACAAGTTGGTATTGTGGTCTAAATAAGAGATTCGTTACATATGGAAAACATAGCGATGTTGAATAAATTGCAGCATAAATTCAGCCTGAAGGGTGCAACATTGTCACCATTACACATAGATGGCTGAATTCAGGTCAGAACTAGGAACTAATTAAACCAGACTGAAGGTCCACAAAGTTGGAAGTCACACGACACCAAGTTATAGTCCAACAGGTTTATTTAAAATCACAAGCTTCTGGGGCACTGCTCCTTCATCAGGTGAAGGAGCAGCAATCTAAAAGCTTATGATTTTAAATAAATCTGTTAGGCTATAACCTTGTCATGTGACTTCTTTGTCCACCCCAGTCCCACACCGACATCTCCATATCCACAGACCACAAGATGGTTAGGGAGTGTGGTAGAGGATGAGAAGTAGCCTTGGTGTTTACAGTGAGTGTGTTCGCATTCAGGCCCCCGTTAATGATAGCCACCAAGAGCCATCTGTGCCTACACCAATTGCACCTCTGACAGTGGTCAGCTATGACAGGAGCCTGTTTTGACAGTATATCTCTGTGCAGTTCATGTCACAACTGTTGTGTGTGATGACATCAGTATGCATACCAGTTTCACATCACCTGAGTTTCTCGGAAGTGTTTGTTCATAATAACAACTTTGGAAATTCCACTTGACTAGAACAGATCACCATTCCGAGGAATGGCTTACTATTCGGAACAGTGAACTTCCTTTTTATTTGATCGATCGCTGCACTCAATGTTAAATCACATGTTCACTATTCTCATCAAGGTCCATATTAATAGCAAATAATTATTCACTATATTGATCATGAATATCACTCACATTTCTTATTGTACGTTTGGCAACTCCACATTGCAATCAGGATAGGTTGATGCAGTTCTCAGCTTTATTTTTAATACAATGTTTAGGTTTCTGACATTCAGGAGTTTGATTCTGTCTAATGAATATATGGGCAGCACTTTCCTTGTGATAGGGTTTAGCTGCTCTGTCCCTTAGCAGTGACTTAACATTGCAATGCTCTGTTTGTGCATGTGCATGCTCATTGCTCCATCTAAAAGTAAAATTGATGTTAAATGCAGCCTATTGATTAAGAATTTTACAGATAGAATTAAGAAATATAAGCAAATTTAAAACTATGGGGCAGTTTCCATAGGTTACAGCTATGAAATGATAGATTGTATAAATGCAACAAGTTGACTTTTGTGTAGCAATGATGGTTTAATCAGGATATTTAACTTTATTTATTGGGGCTTTCTGACAATTCTTGACTGGTTCAGGATAGATTTCTGCAGCAGTTTGTTTTAACTTGTTCACTAGATGTAGATATCACCGTCTAGGCCAGAATTTAATACTTATTCCCCTTGGATAGGTGGTGGTAAAATACCTTCTTGAACTGTTGCAGTTCATGGAGTATAGATACGTCCACAGTGCTCTGAGGGAGGGAGCTCCAGGACTTTGACATAATGAAAGAATGGCAATATAATTCCATGTCAGGGTGATGAAAGGCTCAGATGGGAATTTGCAGGTGCTGTCTTGTAGATGGTCCACATTGTTGCATCAGTGGTAGAGAGTGTGTTTAAGTTGGGTGCCAATCAATGGGCTGTTTTGTCCTGAATGGTATCAAGCCTTTTGAGCTTTGTGCAAGCTCTAACTGGAGAGTATTTCATCACTGATTGCAAAACTTCTTGTGAACGGTGATCACATCTTGAGGAGTCGAGAGGTAAGTTATTCACTGCAGATATCTTAGCCACTGATCTGCTCTTATAGCCACCAGTTGTCAATTAAACCTGTGGACCACCTTGTCACCAAGAAAGAGGGTGTCAGTGAGAGTGCAATCTGTTTGTTGTTGCTGACACTGTATCCAAGTTGTAAGCAATTCTAAATGCAAGAGGGTGTTTGGAACAACGAATGTTTGGTATGAATTCTGCTTGATGGAGATTATTGGGTGAATGATGAGAATGTAGACCATTGGACATTGAATGAGGCTGGTGTTGCTGTTGGTAGGATATGGCATTTGAAGGTGAATTCGCTGAGCTTGACCACTTATGGGAGGTAATTTACTTTTTCACAACATTGCATTCATATCCTAGCATTGGCTCCCATAGCTGTCTGGTTCCACTGCCCTCTGAGAATTTGAAAGGCGGTATTGCTGGATCACAGTGAATGGAATACATTTCTCTTCCTCTGCACTTCAAGAAAGTATCGCAAAATCTTGAAACCCACTTTCTACTTCGTCGTCTCACCATTCAGTCATTTTCCACCTCAGAATGAGTTGCACAGCATCTTCCAGCACCTGATCCTGCCACAATGCACTTACCTTTTAGATAATGCAATTTGGCTTTCAATAGTGCAGATTAGCCTTAACTGAAGAGAGTCGCAGGAGTCAGGAAATTTCCAATTTGGCACACTGGCCTTGGATGACAGCATGATATTCATTCAGGGATGTGGATGAGGGATAGATTCAGGCCTGCCACTATGGACATAGAATGTAGGTGGACACAGGGTCTGTCAAGTGCTAAGACAAAGTGGTTAAAAGGTCTGCCTCAATTGACTGAAGCTTTGCTTTGGTTATATTGTAAAATATTAGGTCCTCTAGCTGTTAACCTTGATATCTGATCATCTCTGTACTGCCTTCATACCCATTCATGCGAATCATGCTCCAACCCACCTCACTGGCCCCTCATATCCGCCATGCCAATTCTCATCCCCTCTACTGTTTCCCAAGGCCACTTACAGCTCCAGTACTTGCAATGCACCAATACATGCACTACCCCCACCACCACCCAACCATCCTCCACACCCTCCATAGTACCAAGTGTGGACAGAGAGCATGAGCCATGCTGAGATAACGTAAATTTCAAAATAAGGATGGCTAATCCTTAAATAACCACATGTAACTGTCAGTCAAGCTATGAAGCTGCAGCAACCCCTAGAGTTCTGCTGATTGATTGTGGAAGCTCCAACGGCTGTTGTGGTAGTGTTCTTACCTTAGAGTCAGGAGGCCTGGATTCAAGTCCCACTTGCTCTAGAGCTAAGTCATAGCATCACAGAAAAGGCAGGCATCCTTTGTCAAAATTTAAAGGACAATGTGATTTAAATAACTTGGCAGCTTGATAGTTCTACATTCTTGACCCACCCTTATAAACATTTGTGTCTCTACCATAAAGTCAGAGGTCACAGACAGACTGAAGCCATTCCTGGAGTGAAGATCGAATCTGCTTGTTCAGTGCACTGATTTTAATTATGCCAGCCAAATTGTAGTGCAAACCTGTGTGCCCTTAACATCCTGCCCGTATCCCTACCAGTCAAAATGGAATTTGCTGCAAATGGTAGCAGGACTTCCAGATCTGTCATTCATAAAAATCCACTGAGTCTCTCCAGCTCTGAGAAAGTCTGTTAGCCAGTCAATCATTTTAATGAAATTTGTTGCATTTTGCTGTGCTTCTATTTTGCTTTCTCTTGTATTGCAACTGTCACTGTACCTCAAAAATATTTCATTTTTTATAAGGGATTTTCTAATGTTGTGAAAAACACGATGCAAATTGCATGTCTATCTTTTCTTTCTGCAATTTTTCACATTATCCTAACAGATGTGAAGTATTTTGTAGTTTTTGATCAGGCCAAGAGTCTGCAGTTTCTCTCCTCTTCAATAGATTCCTCATACCCTGTTGTCAGTTGTAGATTCCTCAATGTGTATCCATAACCTTGGACTTGGTGAACTGTCCTTGAAGGGCCTTGTTCCATTCCTGTTAATACAGTGTCTGCAAAAGAATTGAATATAGTGGTTTCTCTTCCAACTCCCACAGCATTACCACTGCAATTACTGAAGGATTATTCCTTAATCCTCTCCTATTCCTCATAGATAGACTGGTGAAATAGGCAAACACGTAGCAGATTACATTTGGCACAAAGAAGCGTGAAATGTTTGGATTCCCAATTCTGCTTAAGTTCATTCCAGGTTTCTTCCTTGATGATCTTTACCCCACTTGGAATCCCTGCTTCTGCAATTCATTATTAAGCTTCTACTGAAGGACTCCTCTGCTCTGACTCATGTTCCCATCATCTTCCACGAAGCCCTGCTGACGTGGTCAGGTTCCTGCACTGTTTAAATTCTTTTCTTGTTTCTCCGTCAATGCTTCGTTGCCCTCAGTCTGGTTCCCTGAGTTGTTTAAATTTGCTGCAGACTTTTTTCACTGAGCTACGCAGTTTGAATTGAATTCTGTTTGAATTCACTGTGTCATATGTTAGACATCAGTGTCTTCACTTCAAGCTGTTGAAATGACAACATTACAATTTTTTATAGTTTTGTAACTAGCTACTGGTGAAAAGTGTTACATATACAATGTATGTCATACATGCAAATACACAAAAGTTCTCAAATGAGTCCTGGCTGCTGACATAATGACCATGTAAATTAGTAATATGTAAGGCATTATTTATAAAAAAATATGCTTCAGTGAATTCATTTTAAGTCCTGACTGTTGGGTGCTTCTCTCATTGCCTTTATTGCAGTTTTACATTTAGTACGACTTACAATACTATTATTCAAGTTCTGAACTTGGTCAGTTATTTGGAAATAAATATCTTGATTTTATGAATTGATTACATGAAGGTTCTATATCCGTTTAGCTTATTTTGACATAATGTTTGGACATGTCTCCCTTGAAAGGCAGAGGAGCTAATGCGGAAGATTGAAAAGGAAGAGGAACAACTGGCATATGATGACCCTGACAAAAAAATTTATCACCTCTGCATTGTTAATCTTGTTATAGGGTAAGTTGGATATCATTTGACAGTGGCATATTAAGTGTGAGAGCAATGCAGTCCCGTGCAGTATATTAGAGGTTTTCGTCTCAGAAATCAGTAATATCGTGAATGGGGTTGCTGCTGCAAATAATATTCAGGAGGGAGGAGTAACTTTCCAAAGTGGATGCTCACCCTAAGCAGTGATTAGGAAATGCAGCTTGTGTTGCCATGGACAGCAGAGCTTGGTTAATACAAGCAGCAGTTGCACTAAGAAAACTGGTTTTAAATGTTGAAGTTAAGCTTTTAAACAGCAGTTTTAAAGACATATGGATAATATGTAAAGGAAATTCATTTCAAACATTTGGTAATCTAAATGCAAATAATTAAGAGTATGCACTAATAAGTGATTTTAGAATTGATATGAGAAAACAATTAGAAACAGTATATTGTAAAAACTGTTCAGTTCTATTAATGTCAGGAACGCTGCAGTACCTAGTCGTTTCCTTCAGCTGAGTATTGTAATTTTTGTAGTGTGTGTTTGCCAATGCCAAGATGGCGACCGGCCACCTTCACATGGGCAGATGGCAGTGATGATGTACAACCATGACAGAACCCTCCGGCCATTCACCTGTCCATCCCACTGGCTGCCCCTCCAACCCCCTTTGCAGCAACATTTAGATATTATAAAGTTGTATTTGGAATTGGTCCAAATATAAAGTAGAGAATGCTTGCAATAAAATTCAGAGATGCACATTTTAATGTTGTGAAGACATTTGCTGAGTTCTATCCAAATTCCAGTCACCTCAGGTCATTTCAAAGCCCAGATCTATGTTACACCAGACGAATAAGACTGGCAAATGTTAGAGAATCTCACTGCCATCTAATTTAACTTGTTTCAAATAATATGGATCTCCTAACAATTTTATTAAGTTAAAAGAATTCTAGTATCATGCCAAACAATGCATCCTTTTCTCAGCTTTGGAAATCTATCCAATATTAAGATCGGTAGCCACCTGTTTTTATCTTCCAATAAACAACAGTGTCCTCTACAATTTGATTTTTTTTCTTTAAATCATCAGTAAGTAGTTCAAATCAAGTACACATCCAAAGAGCAAATGTGAACAAATGAAACATAGGACTATGTGGTACAAAATTCATATTACATAGAACCCCTACAGTATGCAAGCAGGCCATTCAGCCCATCAAGTCCACACCAACCCTCCAAAAAGCATCCCATCCAGACCCACTACCCTACCCTATCCCTGTAACCCTGCATTTTGCATGGCTAATCCACCTAACCTGCACATCCCTGGACTGTGGGAGGAAACTGGAGTACTCGGAGGAAACCCACGCAGACACAAGGAGAGAGTTGCCCAAGGGTGGAATTGAACTGAGGTCCCTGGCGCTGTGAGATAGCATTGCTAAGCACTGAGCCACCATGCTGCCCCTATTGCATCCTATTGTGAATCCTTGAGACACGCTTACAGTAGCAGATTTCCTAATGGTGGGATCATTTATTTGTAAAGTTATATTTCAAGTCACATGTCCTTCTAATATATGTAAATAAAGCTAGTTAGCAGTCATGCTTTAATTGTTGGGGAGAGAGGAATGTTTGCAGTAGTAGGGCCTTTTAAATAACCCGCTCCAGAGCAGAAAAGATATATTACTTTACTCTTCAAAGTATATCCAGCACTTCCAGCATTCATAAATGGATCATGTTTAATATTTTATGCTATTTGGCGAGCAAGTACTTTGTGATAATAGGGATGAATTGTTTCACTCAAATGGCATTATGTAATTGAATCTTGAGGGAAAAGGGAATAGTCTCATGCTAATGGATGATGAAGATAGCTGGAAGTGAAGCTTAGTGAGGTTATTTGCTGCTACTTATGGAAATCGAGGCAATGTGGGCTTTGATGGAAAGTTTTAGAATTCGGGTGTTTTTTAAATGATTTAAAAATGCACATTCACGTCAAACCTACTTGGGTTTTGATCCTGTTGTTAAGTGTTTGAATACTGTGAGGAAGTCAATGACTTTCTTCAAAAAAGAAATAAGTTACTCTTGTACAACTCCTTCATTCATAAATTGATGCTTTTAGTAATGAATCTGTGTTGACCTTTACAAATATAGTGCTATTTTCATGTAGTTTTATGTTCTCAATTCTCTCAGGACATTATACTGTGCTAAAGGAAATTATGAATTTGGCATTTCAAGAGTAATAAAGAGCTTGGAGCCGTACAATAAAAAGGTAAGATGAAGCAAAAATAGCACATTATATCAAGTGAAAACTTCTATCTTGATAGGGCTTCTACAATATCCATTTGATGTTGAGAAAAATCTGGGTAATGTTACTCTACAAAGTGAATCCCGTCAGCCCATTTTGATAATCCAATTCTGGCTTTCAAATTTATCTCTTTAAATCATTCATTTTGTTGAGTAATGTAATCATGATGGTTTACTTAAAAAAAATGAACAAATGCTAAATAAGATCATAAGATGTAGGAGCAAAAATTGGCCATTAAGCCCATCGAGTCTACTCTGCCATTCAATGAAATCATGGCTGATCCGACAATCGCCGAGCTGGTTTGTTGTTCCGCAGACGTTTCGTTACCGTGCTTGGTAAT